AAAAAAAAAAAAATTCCAGCTTGCCAGGAAAATATTTCCCCCCCAAAAAGGCGGGAAAATATTTTCGTCAAAAACTCGAAAATTGCACACGTGTGGGGAAAATCCGGAAAATATGTTCCATGGAAAATTTTGCCTATCAAACAGTCAAAAAATGGAAAGTGGAAAATATTTTCCTACTTCCCAGGAAAATGTGGCCTATCAAACACGGCCTTAGATTTTTGTTATGAACTGGGATGAATATCTTCATATTTTGTAAATAAAGAGAAGTAATATATGACTTTTTATTCTCCATAATTTCTCTTTATTTCCTTGCTTTTAGAGTAATATATTATATGCATAATCTATTTAAAACATTATTTCGTATCATCAATAAAGTGAAGTAATGTATGACTGAATTCTTTCTTTATTCTCTACCGTTTCGAGTTATTATTGCATCTGTCATTCATTCTCCATGTCGAAGCAACACTTTATTTGTTTCATTAGATCTTTATTTGTTTCTGTTGAATATAAAATTATAGTTCAGAGCTGGACTTGTTTGAATTCTACCGTTGATTCAAGGAAATTTTATCAAGGAACAATTAATAGCTGTTTCGGTTTTCATTTGCTGGGTTCCAATTTTTATTCCTTTTTATGTTATGTTGTTGGAATAATTAGTGATTCTGGGTTTATAAGCAATAATGCTTGTTGGGTTTTTGAGTTCATGATTAATCTTTAGCTCTGATCGATCTTCTTGATTTTCGATTTTTTTCCTTAAGCAAGCAAAAGAAAACATTTTTGTTGTCTTGAATCGAAAAGGGGATACTTTTTCGCATAGATCCATTCTTTCTATTATGTAGTCTTATTATTGTTAGTTTTTTTACGTAACAAATTTAGTATTTAGAATAGAAAAAAAGATAAAAGAATAAGCGAAACTGTTGTTTATTATAGTCATATTTTTATCATTTATCATTTATTTGTTTAGGGCACTTTAAAGATAACTTTTAGTTGGAGGTTAAATTCTTTTGTAGGTTCAGAGGCTTGTTCTTGTTTCTATTCTGTTTGAAATGATGAAATTCGTCAACAAAAGGTGATCAATTTTTGTAAATGAAGGGAATATTTAAATGGTGTAAATTTAAAGGGTGTCTGAATTTTCATTGCTTGTTAATGAATGGGAGATCTTGAGTTCGACTTTTATGCATTGTTGTCCTTTATGAAAATGATTTTAGTTTATTATTGTTTTATCATTTTGGAGCATAGGCGTTAAGACCGGTGCAAATTGCAATAGGAAGACTCCAACCTGTGATTTCCTTTGAGAATGTAAAAAGCTTGACCATGAAGTAATAGATATACTCTCTCTTTTCATTTTTTTAAAACTAAATTTTGACCTTACAATGACCCATCATTAAACTACTGATTCACCGATTGAACCGCTAATTCGATGATCCGATAATTTGTTCGGGTCAACGATCCGATCAATGATCCGATCGAATATGATAACTATGTTTTGAAGAGTAAAGAAATAACGAATAAGAAAATTAAATTGATAGTTGATATTTACTGAAACTCAAAAATGTATTCGTTTTAATTTTGTCATTAGAGACTATTTAATCGACAAAAAAATTTTGTTGAAGGAATAAGCATTGACACTAAATTTTCTTCACACATTCAAATATAATTTTTATTATATTTAAAACTATGAAATAGTCTTTTTTTTTTTTTTTTGTTAGAATGATATTATTAGCAAATCAAACCTTGGAAGTAAGTAATTGGACCCATTTTTCAAACTTGAAATTCTTACACGATAAATATTATTAGACGGGTAGATAATGTACATTCACACTTGTAATTCTAACTAAGATATAATTAATTTCAAGTCACGGTATTTGTTATTATTGCGGTCGTTGACGATCAACGACTGCCCATTCTCTCTCACAATATTGAGTGAGTATTTAAATAGGTTGGTACTATGCCATGCCCTCAAATTACAACACATCAAATTTTAAACACTTTCGGATGCTAAGTGGGTCCGCTTACCGTTTGAGATATCGTAATTGGAATGATTCAAAATTCGAGATTTAGTGGTTTAACCTAAATGACTATTATAATGAAGTTTCTTGAATTGAAATGGATACTGAAAGAAAAGTTGATGAATTCACTTTGAAGTTTGAAATATGGGAACAATACATAGTTCCTATTTTTAAAGTTCACATTTCATAAATAACAAACTTATTAAAATATTTCAAAAATCAGGAAGTAAATAAATTTATTAAATATTAAAATATAATATAATATACATTAATTATTTATATTAATTCCATCTCACTACACCACCTTCCCTCCATCGGAGACGGCCATCTGCTCCGGCGACGTCTCCGGAGAACTTCCGACGACTTTTCCGGTGAACACTCTGGAGCGGCCATTCCGGCGAATTAAAGATTTCCAAAAAATTAAAATTGAAAATCACACCCCCACTCCCATGGATCCACCTACCACCACCTCACCTCTGCCTCCACGTCCTAAAAAAATTCCGAAAAAATTTCAAGTCACTTTATATAATCAAGTTGCTGTTAGGTCTCATCTGTTACTAATTGTGACAAAGTGTGTACCCACTGTGACTAATTGTGACCAAATTCGTGTTAAGTGTAACTGTCTGTGACTAGTTGTGACCAATTTTGTGTTAATTGTGATCGAATGTGACTTGAATATGTTCAAGTCACATTTGGTCACAACCAGTCACAGTATACACATATTTGGTCACAAATGGTCACCACAAACAAATCTGCTTACACCACGGACCAACACCACAATCCACCACCAGAAAGAAGAGACGGAAATTGTTTACAAACTTCTGAATACAATTGATTCATCCAAAAATTGTTCTGAATACAAACTTCTGAATACACATATTTCCAAAATTTTAAGTCACAATCGATCACAATTGATTACAACGAGTCACAATTAACCAGTCACTATCAATCACAAACGGTTACAATCGGTCACAAACGATTGCAAATAACCAAATTATTTGTGACCACCACTTCGCGGACGATAACATCATCTCAAAACAAACACCACACCCTCCCCAACACCACATCACCGCCCCAAAACCACCATCGCCACACTCACAGCTAAAACAACCTAGAACACACAAATCACACACAACCACCGCCGCCACCAACTTCAAATCCACAATTCCAGTGGTAGAAGCAGCAATCAAAATCAGCAAGCGATAGCATATGGCAAGTACAACAACCAGAAGCTGCAAGCCTAATTACTTTCAGAAGACTTGTTCATTACCAGCAACTAGAAGCAGCAGTAACCAGGTAACCATCACGTAGCCTTGGAGTTCCCACATAGAAATAAATCCATATTAACTTCTATAAAAATGGTGGATTTATGAAATTTCCTTTTCGATTTCCCCCTTGAAATTATGAATCAAAATTTGTTCGGCAAGATTGGCGTATAGCACAAACCACCCACAATCAAACCCGCATCCACATATACAAAAAAACCCGACGCCTGCACCACAACAACAACCAAAACACAGTGGTGTCGAAGATAGAGTATGCAGAGTGGAAGCCAAAATTAGATTGACATCACCATCTAGACGACACCTGTTCGGATGCTGACCCAATCTCCTTCATCCTGCCGTAGGCCTGTAGTCGACTTAGATTAGAGCTGGGCGGCGCTCTAAGCAACCGGTGCAGCGGCGAACAGAACGCCGCCACTTAAAGACGGTCGAAGATGATCCCTGTGGCGAGTAGCAGGGAAGATTGGCGAACAGAGCTCACAGAAGATGAGCGCCGCCATCGCTCACAAAAACCTCTACTCGCGACGGTTCTCTCTCGATGGGGTCGTCGCTGCGTAGGTAGCTCTCTTCCAAGGGGGCGCCGCTATGTTGAAAGAGAAGAGAAGATGGGTGCGGAAGGAGAGAGGAGTGAGGCTGCTACTGAAAATAAATTGGGTTTTAATTTGGATTTTAATTATTAATTGAATTAACACCTGATTTTTGAAATTGAATACTTAAAAACAGGGATCCAAATAATTTTCTCTTGAAATATTTTTAAATTTGGGTCTGTATTAGTTAGATAACAAATCTCTGAAGTTTTTAATATTAAAATAATTTGACAATGTTAAATGGTAATAGTATTTACTTTTTATTTCAATTTAGTGACTTAATTGAAATCCGTTGAATTTTCTATGCAATAAAATAGTCTTCTACATGTGTTTTTCTAATACGAAATAAACACACATCAGCCATGTATTCTCTTCTTTTCTCTCGACAGACAAATATTTAACTCCTACGAAGTAGAATCAACCACCACCCTCCCATTCGACCACCGTGATTGCTTATTTGTGATGAAGCTAGATCTGCCCAATAAATAATAAATAAACTTATTGAAAATGAAGATTATAACGCAAAACAAGAAGTTATATTAAGACTCGCTAAAAGAGATAAAAGCAAGTTAATACAATATTCAAATGAAAGTTCAACTCCATTCTATTTTTACTTTTTTTCCAAAAAATTCTAACCTATGCAGGAAAAAGAAAATATCGTGGCTCCACAAGCTTGTGAACGCCAAATGCCGGCTAGACATTCTAAATAGCTAAGTAATTACTCCCTGCATAAAAAAGTTTATAAAGCTAACAAAGTTAATCAGTTCTATGAAGATTGTGTCGTCGAGTTATTTTCCTCAGCCGGTGGTTGAGCTGAAGTTACATCTGCTGGTACACTATTTACTTTTGGAGGTGGACTGTACTTTTTAAGCAGCCTATCTTTGTTTTCTCTCCACCATTCTTCTGCCTGCTGCTCGGCAAACCTTCGCTTGCTGTTGAAATGTGGGAATTAGTATTGGTAAGTATTAAAATCGTCAAGTGCAAAAATGCTGCAGTAAACTGGAATCTTAGTTTTTATGTGTACAATGAGAGAACAGATGCACAAACAAAGTATATACAGAACAACATTATTCAGTTTTTTTGTGGCAAGGAGAAAGCAGAAAATATAATCCACTTCATCCTGAGGCATGCATATAATTGAATGAATATAGTTGTTTATGCGTACTACAACTATTCCAAAGAGTTTATATTTAGAAACGGAGTCTCTTATAAGTCATATATGTGCCTATCTTTCAGATGCACTTAGTTCTCTTACTGTTTAAAAATTGCTAACTGGAAATAGGAAAAAAAATATCGTGTAAAGTACCTGAACCGAACCCTCTTGAATATCTTGGTTCCATCTGCAAGTAGAATGAGTGTAACATAAACACCTGGTTCAAATTGTTCAATTACTTCCTTTCGTCCTTCACTTCTAGCGTCTTCAGGCGTCCCAGAGACACCTTCCGTAATTGGTTGATTTACACCTTTTGTGTCAGAAACTGACAATCCATTGCTTCCCTTTGGAGTTCCGTCAACACTCTGTGACGTATCCTGAACTCCTGCAGCATCGTTGTGATCTTCCGATGTCGACTCTGGTCGCATAGCCGAACTATCTTCAGACGCTTGAGTTTGAACGGTGTCAAGAAAAGATTCGATTTGAGAATGCATCGCTTTAAATGATTCACTCTCACAAATCTCAGGAGGCATTTTCTCCGTAATTTCTTTTAACTGAAAAGTAGACAAACGATGATATATGTTTGTTAGTGCAATGTAAGTCCATTACAGGAGTAAAAGCCACGCAAACTTACGTCTTGCCAATTTTCTTTAGTCAGAAAAAATGACGTGTGGATGTTGGAAACATTAGAATAAACTGAGATAAGTGAAGGTCGAAGATTTCTGCCTAGACCTTGTGGTATGATTCAGGTATACGAGTGTTCAAAAATTTACAAGCACACATGTACAAATCCATAAGTTGAACAATAAGAAAAAATATTTTATTAGGGCGTTAGATGCTCGTGTCAGAGATTAATGCATGTTATTGCAAGCCAAGATGTGTTCAACCTACAGTCAGCTTCACTTTATGAAGGTTTTTTGAAAACTTTGATAGGTAATTTTTGCAGATCGATTTCCTCGGAAATGAAGTTACTACATTTAGATGCTCAATAAGGACGTTTCACAATTTAGTTCCCATTTTCCTTTCTTGTGTAAATATGTCACATTTGTAAAAATGGATGAGCATATATGGAACAACTGAATTACTTGTACTGTGATGATCTTGACGGCTTGCATTGCAATTTTACATTTGGAAGATCTGTCTGCAGCCAATGTAGCAGCTTCTTGGGCAGTCTTATTCAACTTCAGAATTTCCATTTCTTGGAACTCACTTTGTTGCTTTAAACTCTTAACCTAAAAACAAAATAATAGAAATGAGTAATTTTTAGCAAAGAAAATCTTCCTTCGTCTATCTATAAATTAAATTGCATTATAAAACTTTACAAATGGAAATTCTTACCTGGTTTTGAAGTTTGGAAACTTCTTGGTTCAAAAGATCATTGGTCTTCTTTAAACTATCAATGACACCCCTCGAAAGTACAGGGGCAGCAGAGCGTGGAGGACTTGGTCTTCTCGAGTATGGTGAAGCAGGTCTTGAGTTGGACTGAGATTGTGGCTGAGGCATCAGAGGCTGTGGTGCTGATGTTGCAACAGGATTTAATGCATACTGAATGGCACTAAATGAACTTGGGAAAGCAATATCTTTTAGCTGTAGAAGTGATGGAACTTGCGAAGCACGCACAATGGAATAAGAGTCATATATGTTTCCAGGCTTTCCAGATTTAATTTCGAGGTACTTGACAGGTTCCATATTTGGAGAGAGCAAAATTCTGGAACTCCTTCTGTATCCCCGGTCTACCCTGCTACTATAATCTGTTGGATGATGAGGGGAACTCATTCTTCGATTAATAGCCCCGAATTTTCCAGGTTCTGCAGCCTTTTTAAGTTTCATATAGCAAGGGTCACACACTCGATGTGGTTTTCCGGGAGTAGGAGCCAATGCTGCACGAAGTGCCTTTTTTGAACTGCAAGCATGACAATGGACTAATCCACAGTTATAACAGTTGTGCCTTTTTCGGGTGAAACCAAATGCTTGCCTGCAACCAGTGCAAACTGATTGATCTGCACCAGAAACCCACTTATGAATGCAAATACTTGCTGTGTAGCTTGATCCACATGCTATATTCTTTATATGCCTGTCTTTTAGAGCTTCAACCAATTTTGGAACATCACAATCATCCAAATCTCCATGTCCTAATCTTCCGTTTGCACCTCTTCCCCAGGTAAACATTTCACTTCTTGAAGTGAGGACAGCAACGTGATGTGCCCCACAAGCTATTTGTTCAACGAACTCCCCAACCAATCTATCCTGAACCAGGGCAGGTGATCTTCCATCAGATTGTGGATTTCCGAGCTGACCATATGTATTACTTCCCATAGTAAAGACATGACCGGATGTCGTTAAGGCAACAGTTATATGATGTCCACATGCTAGCTGATGGATGTTGTAATCAATAAGGGCAGACACGCAGGTTGGGAGTAGATAAGTTTCCTTGTTCCCATGTCCCAGACGATATTTATCACCATCACCCCAGGTGAATAACTTTCCAGACATAACATTAGAACCCGACTGGTTTGTAACTTCTATAATAGCAGCCGTATGCCACACTCCACAGGCAACAGTAATAGTCTTTAGTCCGTTCAAGGATTGAACCTCCCTGGGACATGTAACACTCTCCAGATCACCATGGCCTAGAGCACCAAACAAGCCATCACCAAATGTAAATAATCTTCCTGTAGAAGTTACCAATGCTGAATGCCAGGTGCCACATGCAATTGATAAAACTTGCTGGCCTTCTAGAGGTCCAGAAACTCTTTTTGGTAGCCAGTGGCTAACATTATTGCCATGACCTAGAAGTCCTGCATTATGGGTCCCGTCACCCCAGGTATATAAATCACCAGATGTGGACACTGCACATGTATGGAACTCACCGCATGCAACAGATTCAACATTCGTAACTGCCAAAAATTCAACGAGTCGAGGACGACTGAAGTTTTTCTCTATTCCATGACCAAGTCTGCCTCCACAATCCTCTCCCCATGTGAAAACCTCACCTTGTCTTGTAACAAGAGCAACATGCCGAACTCCACAAGAAATTTGGAGCACGTCAAGAACTACATTTGACTCCAAGGGTCTAGGAGTCAGTGCATCATTTTTTATGGGAATTGTACACCCATTTCCATCTATAGGTCCTCCATCAGACCAAATCTCTCCCCAGACATACACATCTCCTAATGATTCTATGTCATCGGGTCCAGAACCTTGACTTGAACAACTAGGAGCACTTGAGACACTAATTCGGAAACCATCTGTACTGCACGTTCTTATTTGCATATTTGCACATTCAGACCCCACATCTGAGCTTGTAATATTCAAAGGATAATCATTAGAGTTAAAATCAGCCGAAATTCTACTACCGTAAGGACTAGGAGTAAATTCTAGTGGTGCACCAAATGGACGGCTGTCTTGAGGGAAATCACCAATACCATATAACTGCAAACAAATAAGTGGAATTATAACTCATAGAATTAATAGACTGTAAAACAAAGATATGAAGTCCAAAGAAAAATATGCTTAGATAAATCTCCAGAAAACATTACTTAGAAGATCACTAAAATTACAAGATTACAAGATCACTAAAATTACAAGACTCTTAACACAGTTATAGAAAAGACTCTTCATGCATGTTCACGTATCTGTACTTTCCTTATGATTTTTTATCCTGTTCAAAACTTTTATTTTAGTAAGAAGAATTCTGTAACTACTAGTTTATACAGTACCAACTACCACGGATATGCTCACCTTGTAAAGGATCTTAGCAACATTACAGGGAACATGTTCCCAAATCCTCAATAGAGCTGGATGGAAGTCAGAAAATTTTATGTAATCCAAAAGGTAGAATTTTGCAACTCCTACAAAGTTATTTAGTTTCTCCCTGACCACAAATGCTGAAAGAGACAGATAAGGGATGTTTTCCATGCATTTAGATTCTTTCTCCCATTTTGAAAAATAGCTGATTGGTATTTAATGAGAAAGGAGCCGCCCAAATTATACTTTGTTCAAGTGCAGAACTAATAATCTCACTAACCTTTCTTCCCGACATTTGATCTATCAACTAGTTTGAGATCTGTGATTTATCCACTAGCATACCGAAATTAGATAGTAAATATATAAGTGCACAGACAAGCTGATTAAACAGAAACAAAGTTTGTGAACACGATTGTTTGCAGACATGAATATCTAAAAGAGATGGTATGGGTCCAAGTGATAGTGTGCATAATAATCTTTAAATTTATTTAGGCAAACACATAAAACATAATGTCAAATGCAAAAGGTGTACCAAAAATTGAGGTATAACTATGTCCTGCCTGACTGCAAATGCAGCAGGACGAACAAAGGAAACACCCATAGATTCCTATAAAGGAAAGGACTATAATGAAATTTTACGTCGGAAATGTCACTTTGAGCACGTCTGCTACGAGGTTGCCCAGTTGAAATTAAAGCTTTCAGGCCAGCAAGCCAAGCCTCTGATTCAATTTTGTCCTTGCAGATCTATAAAGTTGGAAAGATGCAATTAGTAAGCAAAAAGTTGTCATGAAAAATGTGAAATCAACTTAAAATATTGTTTATATATAAAATATTACTTGTTTGACTGACCAGATCAAGAGATCTTTCCCCGTTATTATAGATAAGTGAAAATGACAAGTATTCCTTCTCTGGGCGCAAAAATCTTTTAAAAACAGGCTGCACAGACATAAGGAGAACAGAAAGTTTATTCTCAATTTTCTAACGTGAATGTAGTTAATACGCCAAAGTAAGTAACATTAACTCTAATAATATAATGCACCCCAAAAAGACGTGATAACTCACAGTTCTCTGCCCAGGAATAATCCGTGAAACAGAAGATAACTTCAGATTCCTTTCTTCTCCATGGGAGTACCAAATTAACGTTGTTTCATCCTGGAAATAGAATCAAAATTAAAGCATCCATATATTTCAGGTTATTGAATCAAATATCACGTTACCTTGTTGGATTTTTAATGAAGAGGATGTTATGATTATTATTGAACATCCACCAACATGCATATATATGTAGTAAGAGTTTACTACTAGAATTCCAAATTTTAGGTCAGTTATAAGCAAATAGATGCTTTAACTAATGTATATGCATCAATATGCAAATACTAAGGTTTTACAACCATGCTAGAGAATGAAAACAGACACCTACTCTTATACTGGTATGGGCGCATATTATTAATGAAACTTTAATAAGTTAAATTTTCTCGAACTTCAAAAGATCATGGAAAGTCATTCTAGAAGTTAGATTTTCTCTAGTCTTCCATTTGTTGTACACCTACAAATTAATTTAAGAATGAACTCACTTGCAGAAGAATAATAACTGCATAAAAATATCATAATAATGTCTCAGTTCTCTAGACAGAAAGAAAAAATCACTTACTGGAGAAAGTCTGAATGGGCAAAACTTAGGCTTCCCCTTTCTACTATACTTGATTAATTGTGTACCTTTCTTCAAAGCAATGAGTGCCTTTAGAGAACAAATAAAATGCCAAAGATCAGATATAGATACTTGATAAAATCAAGGAAGGAAAGCTGTAGAAAACAAACTGAAAATAAAAGGAGGATAGAAACCGGATAGACCTGCTGTGATGCAGGGAAGTAGATTAACTTTTCATTCAATCAAACTTGAGGAAATTACAATGCAATCTATTCTATTTATAGAGAAAATAGCTAACAAATTATCTAACAAACCAACAATATAACAAACATAAGAAGGAACTAGAAGGAGCTAGAATGAGTTGAACTCTGGCGGGAATTATAGTCGAAGGCAGCAGCATTTTGTTTCCCAGATTCTGCTGTGTTGCTGCTGTAGGTGAGTTGCTGGTCTTGCTGTTGAACAAGTGGAATATTCCAACACTCTCCCCTCAAGATGGAACATCTTGAACCATAGAGAGAAGAGTAGAGATGCAATCAAGGAAGTTCCTTGTTTCGAATCAGTTTCAGTTTTCTTCAATTCCATTTGTGGTCTCGAGCAAATGGAGTTTTGTCAGGAGACACTTTGTCTGCCTTTTCACGGTTTATCTTCCTTATCTTTTGAGAAGGAATATCTTCAAAATCTTCATTATTTGATTCAGAAGATAAAATCAACCGAAGATCTGAGAAGCCTGCCATTCCAGCAGGTTCTATCTTCAATTTCCGGTTTCAGTTTCATTTCGTTTTAGTTTTATTCTTTCAATTTCAAAAATAAATCTGATGAAGAGGAAGAACATCTCTTCGCAGCTCTTGATTCCGGTTTCAATTTCGTTTTGATTCCCTTTGATCGACAATCTGATCGGGAATTTTCAGCCATTGGTGGAGATGAATTTTCAGTAATTTGGTCGACTTCCAGCCAATTGTGACTGAAGCTTTTAATTTACAGAAAGAGCTTCAGGAGAAGGACATCGAGAGAGAAAGCTCGTATGGAGCTCGTTAATCAGATAAAGGAAGCTGATAATAAGGCAATGAGTCATTTAGAAGACCTACAGTCTGTGAGGGCTTCAGCTACATGATTTACAGAAAAGATTCAAGAATTTTTTTTTAAGTTGCTGATGAAATTTTGGAATATATATATATTTTTGATAGATTCAATTTAGAAAAGATAGAGAAGAAGATGAATTGCAGACGGAAGAATCAGAAACCTGCTCTGATACCATGATAAAGTTAATAAAGGAAAGTTGTAGAAAACAAACTAAAAATAAAAGGAGGATAGAAACCGGATAGACCTACTGTGATGCAGGGAAGTAGATGAACTTTTCATTCAATCAACTTGAGGAAATTACAATGTAATCTATTCTATTTATAGAGAAAATAGCTAACAAATTATCTAACAAACTAACAATATAACAAACATAAGAAGGAACTAGAAGGAGCTAGAATGAGTTGAATTCTGGCAGGATTTATAGTTGAAGGCAGCAGCATTTTGTTTCCAAGATTCTACCGTGTTGTTGCTGTAGGTGAGTTGCTGGTCTTGCTGTTGAACAAGTGGAATATTCCAGCAATACTAATCTTATTGATCAATTTTTAATTGTAAAAAGTGGTGTATATAAGTAGTAAAAAGATTTAAGTATCAAGTACATAAAAACACCCTTGAAGGAAGAATTTCGTAATCATTAGCAGAGAAAGAAAGAAATTGATGACATACACAAGTGTCAATATAAATAAATAATTATGCATCAAGTCATCACCCACGTGAGCCAAACAAATAGTGTTTCTAGTATCGTTACCTTTTCAACACAGTAATAGCAAAAGCAAACAAGACAGATAATACATGAATATATATAGAAAATATCTGAACATATCTATTTGTTCCATTACTCCAATCACGACTGTTAATGCACCTCATACTTCCAGTACTAAGAGAATAACTAGCTCCAATACAAGGATATGCAGAATATCCAACCAAGAAAAATGACCAGCTCTCCATAACATCTCTTTTTTGACCGTTCGTTAAATGCAACCAAAAAAATGTAGATGGAAGCTTGTGGACACAGCCAGTTTCAAAATGCACACAGCCAAAAAGTAAAAGTAATCAAAAGCTAGTCATTTGGATGTTCATGTTAAATATAGAAATAGAATATAGAATATTTTCCATTATATTATTTCCTCTTAGTGTAGGATTATTTTCTATAGTAGTTGATTGTGTGATGTTTCCTTTTATGTTTATTTCCTTTTACAGTTATTTGTAATCCTATAAATAGGGTCTTCTACATTGTAATAGTAACAAGACAATATAATACAATTTATATTTCTTGACACTCGCCCCATACTAAGGGTGATTATACTCACAGGATCTTTCCAAAGGCATCATCAACCATGTGGAAGGTTGAGCCTACGTTTTATCTATCAGGATCAAGTTAGAAAGTTCCCGATACCAAAGAATAAGAATAAAGAATGATAGAAAGAAAAGTGGGCTTTAATTTTTTATTATGTTGCACCTTCCCTTATTTTGCATTGAAATATCATTTTATTTTCTAGCTTGGTTGTAATATTATCCTGTTGTGTATGATTTACTTATATGTTTCATTAAGTTTAGGATTACTATATAATTGTATATGATGCTATATAAAAAGGGTTTACATATTTTATGCATCAACTACTTAGCTTGAGAGCTGAAATAAGTAATTCTTTTCCCATTTTGTCTTTTCTTTTGGGGTGCTATTTGATGTTTGAAAAAGAGTATCTTTACAAACTTTTTGTGTTTGGCTTGCAAGAATGTTATGGAACCAAAAATGTCTTTTCCTATTTCATGCAAAGTGCATCCTGCAGAAGTTGTAGAATTTTTGGGAAAACTTGTGGTACACAATATCTTAGTTAGCCATACCTTTTTTATTGCTGAGTTTTGAAAATTTGTTTCATCTACCAAATGCATCATGGAAAATTTTCTACTCAATTTCTGGGATAACACTTTCGCTTTCGATATCCACCATGATCAAATGCAGCCATATTGTGAACATGTTGGTTTGCATGGTATTTCCATGGCATTAGAGTTTGACAGTATTTGTGTCCACATGAACATGATAATGAAATTTTATCTTGAAGAGTATATTTTTCAATTATATTCATGATCTTTCACTTTACCCTTTTGCTTTATGTTTTTGTTATGGTTGTAGCTGTGCCATCTCAAGTGTGATT